TATTATTTAAAAGATATTAGTCAATTAAAGTGATCCGTTAAAACTTTATTTTGACTAATGGGTATTAGGTTTCATGAAAATCTAGTGTAGAGACCGGAATACTGTTTTAAATTGATGAGGGGCCAATTTAAAACAATTGAAAGATAATGACTATTCGGTTACTATTATTTTATATGGTTATGGTCCCCATTTTGATAGTGTTTTTCAGATTCTCTGCATCCCCATCAACAGAGATTGAAATTCAAGAGAAGACAACCAATCAATTGGAAGATCATAACCCGTTCAAGCAATCAAACAATATAAACCAAGGTATGCTTCTGCTATTTTAATTTTTTCTCTGAATTCAACATGGGGTGTGTATTAAATTTTATTTGTGAAAATGATTTGATTAAATCATATGGATTGATAATCCTTTTATTGTTTTCTGTCAAAATACTGGCTTGCTCGAATCCGATCTTTTCTTATCTGATGAAGAAACCTCTGTAGAGATTTCTTTAACGAGAGGCCACGATTAATAATAGTAGGATGCAATTGAAATTGCAGATATGGTGATGCCACACCCATGTACGGACCCACATGGGGTCATGTGGGGTCAATTGACCCCACAAAAATTTTCGTTTTTTTTTTAACTGTAAATTATGCAAAACCTAGTCCAATTGTTCATTGCCAAGCCCAATTGCACAAGTCCATACCCATGTATTTCTCTTTCACATTTCACTTACCGGTTTGCCCCAAATTCTCCAACCACAGGGAGAAGAAGCGAGTTAGCGACATCCTTGAAAATATTGTATTTCTCTGGATCAGCCACCCAAATTTGTTTACTTTTCCCAAATCCCAATATAAACTATTAAATTTTGTTCCTTGTAGTTATTGGTCATGTCCCCCTTTTGGATTTAAACAAATTCTTGTCGGTTGGAAAGTAATTTTTTGTCGATTTGTTAATTGCTAAAATTTGTCGGTGAAAATCTTTTAGAACTTTTGAACTTTAGAATGAATTAGGTGATGGATCCTGGTTCCATCAAATTTCACATTAATTGCTAAAATTTATTTATTTCCTTTCCGCGTTGCGAGCAATAAACATTTCAAAATTATTGTAACTCAAATATTATTCTTTCTTAATCTTATTATTTATAATTTATTAATTTTTATTCATTGAAATATGTCTTCCATAATTTACCAGAATCTAGTCTCTCTCCATCCAGAGACGAAGATAGGGAGGACCGCCCACCCAACATTGTCCGCAGTCCACTATTTCTAGTTAATTTGT